TCCAGGGCATGCATGACATCGTGCTCAAGAGAGATGCAAACAGTTGTTGCCAAACTAATAAAAGAGATTTTGCGTTCTAGTTGCTAGAAGACAAAATTGCCAATGGGAAATCCTCGTCACGTATCCCGTCCTTCAAAATCTTTTACTTTCTCCATGCAAGGACTTGCTCAGCGATGCTTGTAGGTTTCCAAGGATTGCGTGTTGGTAAATGCCACATCCACACCGCCACCGACCTAATTTCGTTTTGTGTCGTATCACTCAGCTGTTACACATATTTAGCCAACAAGCAAAGACGAACTTTCGACCAAAAAAAAAAAAAAAAACCAAAGACAAACTTGCGTAGAAGTTACATATCAGAAAACTGTCTTTCGAGTTTGAGCATGCGAAACTTCACCGCCATTTATATCATATTAGGCAGATTTGTTTATAACAGTCTTCACTGATTATTCCTTCACCTTTTTTGCAAACTTTCCGGCTCTCGCAAGGTGGTTTTCACTTGACATGAACATAAAACCCTAACTTCTTGAATTGCTAGATAGTAACGAGATGATGATTACCTGAGATAAAAGTAAATCCGTCAAGTGAAATTTACTTTTCAAGATGTGTGAAAGCAAGGGTCTTTGCTTGTTATTTGGGCTTTCATCAAAATCAGGTACACACGTCACATAGCATGGCATGGAAAGCAATCGGTTAACATTTTCTAAGTATGCGTCGGAGTCAAAAAAACCACTAAAGCCTCGCGGTCTAAATAAAACCGTATTAAATAATTTCATGAATCTTGTCAAAATCTACCTAGAATAATAAACAACATGCTTAAGCTAATATGGTGGCAACGGCAAGTTTGTCTGCTATAGACCTCTATGTCTCTCCCTTTCTCTCTCTTCCCTAACAGTATACATGCCTATATGCATGTAGGCATCTATAATATATACTTAATCCCGATTATGCATATTGCTATATATTTTTGTAAGCTGCACTGTACACACATTCTCCTTTTTATGTGGTCAATGTTTATGATTGTGACTCCTGACAATTTAGAATGAACACGATCGGCGATGAACATATTCATTGGAATAATTTTTTTTTCTAAGGTCAATCTCAGGAAGGTTATGCCTGTGAAGCGTACCGAAGTGGAAAATTGCCATTACTAATCGGGTTTTTGGAGAGCTCCAAAACATTTTCATTAGAAATTTTGAGTGTCAACCTTTATTTTTCGTGCCGAAGTGCCTTTCATTTCAGCTGGGAAAAGTGCTGAATAAGTTCTAAACCTTTTGGGGTGGTGCCAATTTAGTCCTAAACCTATTTTTGGTGCCAATTGAGTTCTAAACCTTTTGATATAGTGCCAATTCAGTCCTTTTGGCCTGATTTTGCTAACGTGGATGTCGGCCGGCTGGCGACCGGTCACCGGCACTGATGTGAATAAAATTTAATAAAATTTTAATATTTTTTTGAATTTTTTTTCTTCTCCCTCTTCCTTCAGCCGGTCGCCGGAGCGGCGACCGGCCGAAGGCCAGAGGCCGGCGACGTCGACCTCGCTGGCCTCGGGCGAGCCTTGCCGGCCACTAGCGAGGCTCGCCCTCGCCGGCGACGGCGACGGAGAAGGCGAGCCTTGCCATGGCTGGGCGAGGCTCGCCTTCGACGTCGTCAACGAGGGCGAGCCTCGCGCTAGGCTGGCGAGCCTCGCCATGGCCGGGCGAGGGTCGACCTTGCCAGATCCGGCGAGGTTGGACCTCGCCAGCGGCTAGGCGAGGCCCGACCTTGCCGGATCTGGTGAGGTCCAACCTCACCTTGCCATGGCGAGGCTCGCCCAGCCCTCGCCATGGCCGAGCGAGGGTTGACCTCGCTAGATCCGGCGAGGTCGGGCCTCACCCAGTCGCCGGCAAGGCTCGCCCGGCCCTCGCCAAAGGTCGCGAGGGTCGGGCGAGCCTCCCCAGCGGCTGGGCGAGGCCCAAACTCGCCGAATCTAGCGAGGTCGACCCTCGCCCGCCTAGCGCGAGGCTCGTCCTCACCGGCGACGGCGAAGGCGAGCCTCGCCATGGCGGGAGAAGAAAAAAAATTCTAAATAATTCAAAAAAATATTAAAATATTATTAAATTTTGTCCACATCAACGCCGGTGACTAGTCGCCGGCCGACCGATATCCACGTCAGCAAAATCCGTCCAAAAGGACTGAATTGACATTATATCAAAAGGCTTAGGACTCAATTGACACCAAAAATAGGTTTAGGACAAATTGGCACCACCCCAAAAGGTTTAGGACTTATTCAGCACTTTTCCCCATTTCAGCTAATTTCCCTAGTTCGTCGTGATCAATCTTCTATAGATATCAATTCATCAAAAAGGGGACTCACTTGAAAGAAAGGGAAAAGAAAAGACAAAGATGTAGAGCTTGATTGAAAATTATTTATCGCGAAATGCACATGCACACCCATACATATCTTATTTATATGGCGAAATTCATAAGAAGGGAAATACAAGAAAATTGGATCGGATGGAGTGGCGGCCTCTCCCATCTTGTGCGACACTTTGGAAGCATGTTGAACAGGTTTTGAGAAAAGATGTTTCTCTCCTATCAGAATAAGACATGCTCACCCTTTTCTAGGTAATTATGTTACGCAAAAAGAGTTTGAGCTAGATCTTTCTAATTTTCACATGGCCTTCTTCTTCAACCTCCATGGAGGGGAGGGTTTGAGCCAGATCTCTCTCTACCTCCTCTTCCTTTTTCTCTTTTCTTTGGCTGATTTGGTTTTCTATTATCTTTTTCTTGTTTTTCTTCCGTTTTGTGGACCTTTTCTCTTCTGATCTAGTCTAGATCTAGATTTGTGGATTTTTGTTTGTACGATTTCAAGTTTTTGCTTCTCTCGGGTTTCGTTGGTATACAAATCCAGTTTTGAAGCAGATCGAAGGAGTTTCATGACGGTTTTGCTCTCACAAGTGTCAAATCTATTCTCATTTGACATTGTTTCTCCGAACGACAATAGTGTTAGAGATGTCAAACCTAGGTGCGCACCGCCATAGCAATAGATGAAGATTTTTGGTATGTGCTCATTTTTTTTTTATCTGTAAAAAGTCATAAACCTATTGTATTTTTGCCAATTCAATTCTAAACTTTTTAATCTTGCCAATTAAGTCATTAAAATTTTCACATTTTGCTAATTGAGTTTATTCGGTCAATTTACCTCAGAAAATGTTTAAATAGACGCTAGCCGTCCTATGTGATAGAGCTGGCACCGACCTGGACAATTTTCAATAATATTTTAATATGTTTTTGGAATTTCTTATTAATTTTTTCTTTTCTTTTTCTGTTTTTTTCTGTTTTCCTTTTTACCTTTTTTCTTTTTTAACCAATGGCCGACAAAAGGTCGCCAGCCATAGGTGAGAGTCGCGCGACCCTTGCCTAGCCTCACCCAAGTCTAGGCGAGGTCATAGCGGCCACAGGTGAAAGCGACTTCACCTGCGGCTGGCGACCCTCGCTTGTGGTCAGCGAGGGCTCGTCAACCTGGCTGGCTACTACTAAGAAAAAAAAACAAGAGTCAACAAGGTAAACAGGAAAAAAAAAAGAGAAAAAAAAATTCAAAAAAATTAAAATATTATTAAAAATTATGCATATCAGTGCTGGTTGTGTAACATAAGACCGTCGGCGTCCACGTAAATGAATTTCAGCCAAAATTGATAGGATGGACTTAATTGACAAAATGTAAAACTAAATTAGTAAGAATGCAATAAATTTAGAATTTTTTGGATAATTTTTCTAAGTAGCGACCACATAGAGTGATTTTTCCTCAACTGCAAGTGTATTTAAGATTTTTGGTTCACCTTGTCCGCCTGTACAAATAAACATGGTATTCCCTTCATAGGTAACTCTAACTCATATCTATTTTCGACCAACAAAACAAAAACTCATGTCTATTGTCTAGCATGGATAGACTCATTGACATACACCATCGAGGACGACAGCTTATCATCGACACTATTGACTAGCAAAACATTCATTAAAGGAACTTCCCATATAAATTATGGATGCTATGGACACAGGTCTAGAGGATGAAGTCCGACGGCCTACCACACCCAATTAGGGCAACATCGAGGGCCTTCACCTTTTTCTTCAGCACGAAGCATATCCACTTATCCAATCTATTTGACAATTACTCCACGACCGTCAAATTCAGGGTTAGAAGGCCACTCGAATGGGAAGTCCAACTCGATACAGAACCTATTGACTTCGGGGCTCTCGTGTAGCGTCAACACATGGTCGACGAAATTCGAAAGTCCATTGTCGCCAGCTCCATATCGGCCGCGATTGCAGGCATGGAAATCGTACTCCTTGGAGGACAGAGAGCTCAGAGATATCCAGAGGCCATGAAACGGCCGAAGCATCAATAATTTAACTTGTAAGACTACTCAGAGATTAGAAAAGGTCAAAGATCTCCAAGCAAACTAATTTTGCTTGAACATCAATTAGTTTCCCCATTTGGAAATTGTATCATCACATGCCTCGAGTTTATTTTACGAAATCAAATCAAGATCATTAAAATATACTTGCCACAAGATATGTTCAGTTTAATTTATAGTTGATTTCCAGTATCAAATTGAATTTGATCATTCTGAGTAGCCAAAATTGACGACAATGGTTTGATGGTAACATCATACATGTCTAGCTAAAGTGACAAGAAATTTGCTGGACTTTTCTTACCCTCCCTTCCTTTCATTCCATTTCCAAGTTGGGAACCAAATTGCATATCCACAAAACTTCCTCTATTAAAGTCTAGGCCGTACTTCCAAAACCAAATTTGCATATTTTGCTTTTGCGTATGGATGACGTATTGCTGGAGTGTCATTACCGCTATCAATACAGACTATTACATAGCTTTCTTCTGTTCTAGCAATGTTTAATGCATCATCTACTTCAAACTTCGAAAAATTTACAATGAAAGCAATAGTGGCTTAGAGAAAAAACCGACCAAAATGATAACAGGTTCCACAAACATGTTTTCCAATTGATAAACTATTGAATCCATCAATTTAAGACCAAAAGAGAGAAAATGTTAACTGAGGATAGAGACATGACTTGTTAGTATAATAGAAACTGTAGAAATGAAATAAATTAGTGCTTCCATGTTTGAAAAAACCATATCAACATACTGCCATGTGTACTACTGCACGGGGAGATATCCTTGGTAAACTAAAGACCTTTTTTGAAAATTCCAGAAGCATATCCGGGGGAGAGTCCTTCTGTACGCCGATGCCAATCCCATTTCGAGTTTGTTCAAAGTTCTTTTTAGTAGAGATCACCATTTTCTCCAAAACCAGTGCGTTTCCAAGCAGAAACTCGATTAGCTCGATCACATATGGTTCGGTCACACATGCATATACCATTACATTCTTGAGGTGGTATGCAAGACAATGAAATGTGCCCTCAACTAAATTCCAGTAACTCCTTCCATCAAAGTTACGTACTCGATTCCACGTACCTCCCTGACAAAATAGCAAACAAAGAGCAAAGCTCAAGCATTGATAAATCAAATAAATTTAATTTCTAAAAAAATATACTATTTATGACATCCAATATCCATAGTTCAATCGCAAGTTAATATACTTAACAAAATTTAGAGATAAATTCAATGTAATGAAGAGGCGCCACTGTTCTCTATCAGTGAAAGTAAAAATAATTTTGACTTTTAGAGAAAAATATCGTTTCATTCTCGCAAAACTGTAAGCTAAAGCAATAAATGTCTCTAACACCAATTATCAGGCACGACGAATAAACATATATGGTAAGTTTCTCTGAAAAATCGCAAGTAGGCACCATAATATCCTCGGCATTTGACGGATAAACATATATGGTGAGTGTTTCTAGAAAGTCGCAATTCTCTAGTAGGTAATAAATCCCAGGGAGGTGCCACTTTGCCAAATTAAGTGTCATTGTCACAGACTTCCAGCTGAAAGTTGGGCATGGTAGATACATTAGCTCCCATATGCTGAAGAGCTGCAGATGGAAAACAGAGAACCATTGGAGGAATTGAGATCTATAAAACATAAAATAGGACAGACAAAAATCTAAAAAAGGTAAAAGAACAACATCTGACCAATAATACTTGATGTTCACATAGTAAATCAGAAATATACAACAACCAACAACAACTACTGCGCCTCCACTAATTAAGTCGGATCAAATACAAAATATAAACAAAGTGGATATCTTCTTTACTTCATGAAATGAAATCATTGCTTTAACCCAAATTTGGGCACCCATCGCCTTGAAAGCTGCAGTTTACTGCAAGGAGTACTAGATGGATCCAATCTCCACTACACTTCTATCATACTAGTCGAACAACTAGAATGCCACACAATACACAGGCTCGAGTTATCACCCACTAGCCCTTCTAAGTATTAATTGATATATACCTCCACGTGATTTACTTAAGTTTTGGAATTACTGACACAAACAAGCACCCTTAAGGATGAAGGAATCAATCTTTAATTTATACTGAGTAAAGACTACTCACGAAACCTTCCCTTATCAAATATGCAAGATTAAATTCAGACTTTTATTATCACAAACATCAAAATGCTAAATTACCCAAAATAGCCAACAAACGAAGCAACACAAAGAAAGCAACAAGATTAGCTGACAGCAAGTCCCAGCAATATGCTAGGCTCTCCATCAAGCATGACACTGAGTAAAGACTCTAAAAGACCACAGAAAACTGATGATCGTTCTGTTTCTCAAATGTTCAAAAACAGATATTAAGACTTGGACCATTTAATTTGGGATGGATATCTTATGCTGAATTAACCTCAGGACAAATAAAAAATCTAAATAATGAATTTGGACCAGAAAGCACAAATATGGACAGCAGAGATCCATTCATATCGAATGGCATAATCATCCCTTATGCAAGAAACATTTAGCTGCAGAAGTTGGATGAAACCAACTAAATGACAATGTATAAGACAGAAACAAAAAAAGACAGCCTCATCTAAAATAAATAGTTTCCATTTGTGTTTTGAAGATTAGCATATAATGCAAGATTGGTTAGTTTCTCCAGCCACTACTGCCAGTTCTCACATCAAGAAATTCTAGAAACCTACCAGAATACTCCAATTTAAATAGAAGGAAACCTACCAGTATAATCCAATTGCCGAGAGTAACATATGCAATGTTACAAAACTTTTCTACAAGCGTTTTGACCTCCTCGTGTTCCTCAAAGAATCCTCCAAAGTGATAGAAATAGAGGGCCACATCATTAAGGGAAGATCCCCAATCCAAATTTACTTCATTTATGGATCCATCCAGTTCAAGTGTCATGACATTCGGACAGATTATCTTACTCAAGGGATAAACGATATAGACAGACAATATTTTGATGCCCGAACTAGCAAGATCAACTTTTTCAAGGTCAACACAAAGACAAACATTCAATTCTTCAAGTGACGGGTGCCTATCAAACTTCAGAACTTGCAGGCCATGGCAGTGCGAGAGGGACACCTTCTTCAATGACGGGCTTCCCGAAACCAGATTTTGTATCACCTCTTCGCTTAAATTAACATCAAACATCGACAACTTTTGAAGCGATTTCAAATGAATCTGTCCTAGAGATTCGATATTACAAACCTTCAATGTAAGGTTTACCAGGCTACTAGAACCAAGAACAGCACTCGGCACTCTATAGTGAAGAGCTGGTAATGCTCTCAACAGCCTACCACACCCATCTAGGGCAACATCCAAGACCTTCACCTTTTTCTTCAGCGTGAAGAATATCCACTCATCCAATCTATTTGACATTACTCCACGACCGTCAAATTCAGGGTTAGTAGAGCCACTCGCATGAAAGTCCAACTCGATACGGAACGTATGGATTTCGGGGCTCTCGTGTAGAGCCAACGCATGGTTGACGAAATTCAAGAACTCACCGCCACCGGCTCCAGAACGGCCGCGACAAGCATGGAAATCACACTCCTCGAAGGACAGCATGCTCAGAGATCTCCAAAGGCCGCGGAACGGCCGAAGCATCAAGGATGCGCGGACAGCGCATCTGAAGGGCAGGAAAGAGAGTATATGGAGGAGGAGCGAGTCGGGCAAATCGCTGATCCTGTCGACCTCCTCATCCTCTTTGCTCTTTCGCGGGTCTGAACCGCCGGTTCTGCCTCTGCGATCAACAGTTCTCATGGCTTCGCTCACACAAGTCGCGGTAGGCAAAAGGGAACTCTTCAGGATAAGAAAGCCAGGAAAAAGCAAAGCTGGGCGATCAACGCTAGCTGTGGCGGCGACGAATCTCAAGGTTTCAGGTAGAATGCAAACCCTTCTTATGCCGGGCGAGCGATAATGAGTACAAATTGGGCCGGCCCAGTAGGCAGGGCTAACCTTGTTTATTTGTTGATCCTGTTATCATTCAAGACTAGATCCATGCACGCTACGCGTGCCATGGGCATTTCGTAAATAACTAAAAGGGCATGTTTGGCAATTGGCCAAATAGCGAAAATTTATTCTTTTGTTCCCAGAATTAGTTTTGAAACAGAAATCCGTTTGTTAAATTTTTTATTATGGGCACAAATTCTTGCAAATTTGTGCCCAGAATCAGTTTTGGAGCAGAATCAAGAATAAAAAAAAAGTAGCTTCTTGATTCTGGGAACAAAAATGAGAATCAATTTTTTTTTCTTCTTCTTTTTCTTGATTTTTAATGTAGCTTCTAATGTCCGGTGCGAGGGCTACCCTCGCCGTATCTGGCGAGATTAAAATATTTTAATAAAAAATATTATTAATAATAAAATATTTTACCGGCCATGAGCAAAAAAAATTATTTTACTAACCATGGCCAACGATTAGGCCATGAAAAAAATATTATTAATAAAAAAATATTTTATCGGCCATGGCCGGCGATCAAGCCCTGACAAAAAAAAAGGAAAAAAAATATTTTAATAAAAAATATTATTAATAAAAAATGCTAATAAAAAAATATTTTATCGGCCATGGCAAAAAAAATGAAAAAAATATTTTAATAAAAAAATATTATTAAAAAAATATTTTACCCATGGCAAAAAAAAGAAAAAAATATTATTAATAAAAAAAATTTTACTGGCCATGGCCAAAAATAATAAAAAATTTATTTTTTAATAAAAGTGTTATTAATAAAGAAATTTTTTACTGGCCATGGCCAAAAAAATAAAAAATATATTTTTAATAAAAGTATTATTAATTAAAAAATATTTTACCAGCCATGGCCAAGGAGGAGGAGAAGAAAAAAAGAAAAGAAAAAATATTTAAATATTTAAAATTTTATTAAAATATTATTAATAAAAAGAAATTTTATACCGTTACCAAACACATTTCTGTTTTTTTACTATTTTAGGAATAGAAATTTTGGGCAGTTACCAAACGCCTTCAGATGCTCAGAATCAGTTTCCGGGCACAGAATAAAAAAGAATCATTTCGATCGGAATGCTTCAGCACAGAATGGTTCTATATATGCACCTAAGTAGTTTTTCTATTTTAAGGTAGTGTTAATACCATGAAAAATTCTAAATTAGTATACTTATGACAAGTTTACCCAGAATAATTTTTTAACCACCAAAAACCCTAAACTGATAAATCTGTGACAGTTTTACCCTCCGTTAGTTTTCATTAAATTTTACCGTTAAATTTCTAAATTGGATAACACGTGACAGTTAAAAGATGTATCAATTTGTTTGTCACAAGTATAGTAGTTTGTGATTTTTCGTGGTATTAATTCAATTTAACGGATGGTAAATTTGTTATAAATATATCAGTTTGGGATTTTTGGTGATCAAAAAATTAGTTTTTGGTAAATTTATTACAAGTGTACTAGTTTAGGATTTTTCGTGATCAAACAATTAGTTTGAGATAAATTTGTCACATGTATATTAGTTTGGAGTTTTTCATCTACGTTTGATCGTCCGGATTTCTAACTAGGATATGATTTGATAAGAAAGGATATGAAATCGAAGAATTTTGCAATATCCTATCCACTATTTGGTTAATCGCAGTAATGAAGTTGGATATTTTCGTACTTTATCACGTTTATTGTTTATTATTTACGACATATCAATATAAATCAATATAAAAATGTACAAACGAATATTGTAAAAATCTCTCATAATATACTATCAAATCTAGTAAGAAAGTAAAAATATGATCATTCACTTTCGTGACTACGAAAAGTATAGTATTTGGATACCCTCGCTACTTTTGTGAAACTTCAACATGAACCATAAAATTATAAAGGAGTTTCGACTTTTGTGGACTTTATACATGAATCGGAGAGCTACGAATGAGAAGAAACTCAGACTCTCTTGCCATTTTCATGGAACTTTAACGTGAACTAAAAATTACGGAGTCGTGAAGCTTCAACGTGAACTAGAGATACATAGGAGTAGGAGACAAATGAGGGTAGGATTTTTTAGAAATTTCATTGCCCCTCGTTTTTCAAGAATTAGAAAGATTCTTCTCAAATTTGAATTTGTTTATTAAAATCTGGGTTCTTCTACCCCATTTTTATTTACTCAATTTTTTTTTAAAATTTTTCCATCTCTTTTAAATTTTTTTTATTCCCTTCCATCAATCCTTTATAAAAATTTTATCAACTTATACACTAGTCTATTATACCTAAAATATGTAATAATATATATTTATATATATTATATAGTAGAAAGAAATTCAATTATATAACTAATACAGAAATATATAAAAACGAATTTTTGTTGTTGTTCTAAATTATCTTTTTAATATTATAACTCAAATATTATTTTATATTTAAATATTAATTTATTTTTATTATTTAACAAGTTTGTTTAAAGAAAAATAGCTTTTATACCATAAATATGATAAATCCTATTTACTTTTATCACATCTCTCCCTTGGGATAATTTTATTCAAGCGATATCCTCCTTTTATCCGATTTTGTCTTATCCTGAGCATGAATCAAACACAAGATAGGATAAATGTTATTCTATCCTGAATTTTCTTCTGTCTACCAAACGCAACCTTAAGGTAGCATATAGTTTTTTGCTTTTACGATTTCAGCGTTTGAAAATTTTAATCAGAAAAAATACATTAAAATGGAAAATTAAACTGGAACATGGACTTAGTAGCTATGAAATGGCGAGTATGGTTCATACCCTCCAAAACCCCCCACAGAAGCCAAAGCTGCAAGAACCAGAAAACAAATTAAACTCACTCGTCAGCGTTTCCTTCAACGAATTAACCATAAAAACACAAGGCATGGAACCGCATAGAATGGAATCTCTAACCGTTCAAGCAAACGAAGCGTCGTCCCCGGAGGCGCATGTGCATTTGCTGGTCCCCAACATTCCACTCTCTTTCGCAGTTAAAGAAGCTTCACGAGATTCGTGGTCTCCGGGGTCGAGGTGGTGGAGAACCCGCATCCAGCGAAGAAACCCTGAATCTCGGCACCCATGAAGGCGGAAGCGGCTTGAGATGGGTCGAATAAAAAAGATACAGAACACGAAAAACCGGCGATCAGGAAACGGAATTTGATCGAGTTCCTGATGGAATTAGAGACCGCGGCCGCCGTGCCCAGGACCATCGAGGCTTGGTTCGGGACATCAATGCCTGTGCCCGGGACGCCAAACCTAGTAATATCAAGGCTGAGCCCGGGTCCTCAGCGACCGTGCCAAGATCCATCGAGGCCATATTTTTAAAATAAAAATCCGATTTTTTTATTTTATTTTATTTTTTTCTTTTCTTTTTTTCTCTTTTCTTTCTTTTCCCTTCTCTTTCTTCCTCCGCCGACTACGAGCCTTGGCGATGGCAAGCAACCAGCCAATCAGCCATAATGTGGGTCAACGACCTCGAGGCTCGGCTGATCCATGCGAGCTCAAGCTCAGGCTCGACAACTCGCAGCTCGGCCGATCCTGGCAAGCTCAAGATCAGCGGGCTTGAGACTCGGCCAATCTTGGCGAGCTCGTGCTCGCCCAAGGCCAACAAGCTTGAGGCTCGCCAGATCCCAGCAAACTTGAGCTTGCCTGTGGCCGTTGCCAACCGATCGTGATGGAGGAATGAGGAAAAAGAAAAAGAAAAGAAAAGAAAAATAAAAAAATTTTAAAAATCGAATTTCTTTTTAAAAAAACTATAAAAATTATCCACGTTAGCGATGACCGTGCCACGTAGGATAGCCGGCGTTCACGTCAGCAATTTCCGACCAAACGATGACGCAGAAAATCAAATTAAAGTTTCGCTATCAAATAACGGAAAATATTTTTCAATTCACTTCTAGTGTTGAAAATATGTCTTGAGTTTGAGCCCAAAGCGAAATCTAAATATTCCGAATTGGATATTTTGCGAATCTCCGAAATCGAGCAAAAGGAAATATTAGAAATTTGCTTTCCTAACATGCAAGAGTCGGCAAGCAAATACGAAAGGAAAGCAAATCGTCCAAGGAAAGAAATAATAAAAAAAAGGAGATTACGTGAGTCAATTTCCTTGCTGAGTGCATTGAAGAGTCGGTCAAAGAAAGATAGAAAAGAGGAAAGTTGACTTTCGTTGACCGAATCCCACTTGATTATGTTTCCCTCTGCAGTAGGCGTAGTGATTTGTTGCACTTCTTCAGACGGTGGGTATATGAGCATGTTCATATATATTAGCGAGTTGCTCAGTTGGTCAATAGACAGAAGAATGAATTGAAGCGCCGCTCCGCAAGCGAGTGCTTGACAGTGGGTTCGTGATTTTGTTCATAGAATTACACCAAGAATTCAAGTATTCGTAGCGATTAAATCTTGTAGTAAGATTTGTATATAATTCATTCGCGAGATTGAGAAATTATTTCGTGAGGAATTGTGGGGCTAAACACTGTATGAGTTATTGGGTGTAATTGGGGCTTCGAAAACACTTAGAGTGTTTGAGTGACTCGAGTGTGATTGTAATCTCCGTTATATCGCTTGATCTATAGTGGAATTCAGTGCTGCTCTCCTCGTGGATGTAGGTCACTACGACCGAACCACGTAAATCTAGTGTCCGATTTATTTTCTTATTCTGTCAATTTTATTGTTCGATCGCTTGGCTTCCGCAACATCTAGGTCTCAATCAAACACCAAAAAATATTATTATTTATATAGAAAATTACTTATTAGAAATTTTTTTCTAAAATATAATATTTTTCGCAAAACAAACGAACCCATACCACAAGTTCTTTTTTCCCCCTTTTTCAATGATGTTGCTCAACTCGTCGTCAACTCAGTTAGTTCAAGCAAATAACTGGCTTAGCCTAAGTGTTGCGAATCCAGTTATTTGACTTCAATTTTTTTTTAACCTGTTTCATTGTTGTCTTGTGCATGTATGCAGCAGCACATATATATTCAGAGAATTAACCATTTGTATTACCAACTTATCGTGGATTCGGGCAGTCGAAATACTAAATTTCACTGAGTTTCTTCGAGCTTTCAACAAGGCAATCCAGAGTGGGAAGTTTGTGGTTTAACAAGCAAACGGTGGCACAGAACGGATCTCATTCATCCAATCAAATCAACTAGCACCAAACACCCGAGCAAATTCGCAACAGCATCTAAAAGCAATTAATTCAACACGAGCAAGTAATAGCTTTCTTGAATTTCTTTTCCTTTCCTTCCAAAACACCGGTACCCTCTCCTCATGATATATCCTAGCTCTAATACTTTGGCATAATCAATCAATTTGCTCCTCCGCGGTTCAGGGTGTAGGGTGGACATCGGGCTGATTGCCTCGTTCCCACGACTCTTCCTTCATATCGAATAGTTTCTTGTGTCAAGAATGGATGTTGCACAAGCCACAAAGAGACGATGCAAGACTCTAGCGATTCTTCGTTTAGTCTGCATTAATCGAACTTCACGAGTTGCAGCTGTCTCCTAGGTTTCCTTGTTGACAATAAACTTGACTATGAGAAAGCCAATTATATCGGGAGGAGACGACGGGTCAAGTCTATGGACAAGTTCTTTTTCCCTGGTTTTAGCCACTCCCTGCGGGTAAGCACCGTATCTGTTGCTAATATTGATAATAGGACATATATGAAGGCCAATCTGTGATAATTAACCGGCGTACTGTTTGCATTACAAAGAGAAAAACTTCAGCAAGCGACATTTATGAAGAGACGAATAAAACAAAAAAGCATAAGAGATTAGAAGGACAAAGACTACCAATATTTTGTAAATTCAACAAGATGGACCATCCTAAGATAGGCTACAAGATCTACAGACTTGCCTCAGATCATTAAATGTACCTTACAATCTCGTCCTTTAACAGAAATGATATATCAACCAACTCGGAAATAGGATTGGAAAATATTTGACAAAAAGATATGCTTGGACCGAAGTACATTCGCGATGTATCCAGCGCTATATTCAAAAGAAGCAACAAGGCCTGGACCTCCGACTCTTGCATGCTGAAAAGAACACAAATGCAGGTGGCGATGAGATCTTTTGTATTTTTTTTTTCCTCTCTTATTACAGATACGATGAAATATCGACGAAATAATTGTGCATGTCAAAACTTAAACAGCAGAGTCTAACCTGAGGGGCTAGAGAGAGGAACTTGTAAGTGTCCAAAGCATACCCAATCAGTGCTTCATTTTCACCGGGATTAATTGTACATCTAGCAAACCAGAAATAAACACCATGGTAAATTTCACAGCTGTTTGAGCAAAGAGATTTAGAGGAATAGGAATGTCACACAGCAATAACTCCACTTGGCAGCATTGAATTAATGATAGAAGCAGTAGATCCACGAGCTCGTCGGAGGACAAGTATCGCACAAGGGCTTAGACGCATGGGTTTTTAAGACAGAGAAATGGTACAGGAACTGATTAAGCAGATGACGCTTGATGACCAATAGCAACGACTTAGCATGCATATAAAACAAGCAGTCATGCCCCGGGATAATAGAAAAAACATGCTAGGCAGTCAAACTTGGCAGTTGTTTTAAGAGATGTACATGCTATTATCTAGGCAAATGCTTTTTTAAGCCTGCTTGTGCAACATGCCACTGCACGGTACCACCCTTTCTAATGTGAGATCAACTGCAATTGCAAAATTTTCATATAGATCGGCAATGGAGTGCTCAGTCCACATTAGGAAAGTAAGATAAGTCACGCATCTGCTTAGAAGGAATTAACTGTACTTAAGATTGCATATTGCATTGAAGGCACGCATATATTGTCTCAAAAATGATAACTACACAAATTGCAGGAGTAGATTGGGCATACTAACGTTGAGTATACATAAATTCCACAAGGGCGTACTAACTGAACAGTCTGGTCAAACATTCTTCTCGGGTACATGGCATGGTTTCTTACGATGCTATTATTTCCTGGTGAAAAGAACAGAGCAACATTATAAACAAAGGATACAACCACAACAAACTGGACTTCATTCATCATTGCAATTCCTATGGAAACAAATATATCGTCACATTTTTCCATTGTGGAAGAAACAATCTCTCAGAAAACAAGATCAACTAAAAGCTTTATCAAACAGGATAAGGGTTTGTGGACTAGATATGCAAGATAACAATTATTTCTTAAAGAATTAAATCCTTCGTGTTATAGACTAGAGCTGATGTCATTCTTGGTCCAGAACCTAGCAATATCCAAAATGGTGGATCTGTACACGGGCCACACCGACTACTTGGTCGTCCTCAATTCTAAGAATGTCTTCAGCGAAATAGCAACTAAAGTTAGGGAATGAAATCAACAAATTAGAATCAAGTTACTGGATCCATCATATGTCTAACCTCTCCATAAAATAATCTGGCTCTCAGGCCAAGAGCAAAACATGGAGCATCAAGAAGAACTCGATCGAAGCAGTGAGGTAGAAAACCTTTGGAATTCTCCACCCTAGTGCCCTTGCCCTGGTTCCTTCCTGGCCCATTTGTGACATTCCGAATTTCGGCCCATTTTTGGGATTTATAAAACGTGTAATTCGTCAGTGTGCTTATAGTAAAATTTCGCCCGGGAACTGATCACTCTCGGTAATTATTTTTAAAATTGAGATTTAGCTAGAATCGCGCTCAATCAAATTTGGCCGTTATTTAGAGCCCAAACTTTGGTGTCGAATTTCTCGAAGTTTCGGGACGAATTTAATTGGACGGTGTCGATATTATTGTGGCCAGCCTCGAGATTACCCGGGATGTGTGAAAAGTGAATTTTTGACCCGGTGCGGATTTGGACTAGTAGATCTTCCTCTGGGTTTATTTTATTGGGTGTCTTTTTAGTCTTTTCTTTTAATTGGAAATCTGGAATTTTCGTGGCCTTAGGATCTTGGCTTGCTCACCAAGATCCAATGTGAGCCCTAGGATGAGTCAAAAGAAGGTTTGACTCTCTCTCTCTCTCTCTCTCTCTCTCTCTCTCTCTCTCGCGTGCGCGACCGTCCCCTCCCCTGTCAGACCAATCTCTCTCTCTCTCCTTCTCTCTCTTCCTTTTTCCTCTTCTTCTTCCTATCTTCTTCTTCTTCTTCTCTGGTCATCCGCCTGACTGGTTCTGCTTCTGCCTTGGCTCGCCTTACCAGTCGCCGCCGACCGCCCCTCGCCGTCCGCCTCGCGCTGCCGTCTCCCGACTGAGCCGCGCCGCCCGCGACCGCCTGTCGCCGACCCCTGTCCGCCTGTCGCCGGCCCTGTTCGCGCTGCACGCGAGCAGCAGCTCGCCGCTGCGTCCGCCGCGGCCCAGCGTTGCCCAGCCATCCGCCGGCCTATCCTCCGTCGCCCGACCACCCACGACGCCGCCGTGTCGCGTCAGACCGCCGCCCGACCTCCCCTTTCCCCTGTTTTTCTTCTCTCTCGGCGCCTTCTCCTGTTTCGGCTCCCAGACTTCGCCGCCGCCGCCGCTCCGCCTCTGCCACCCAGCCTCTCCCCTCAGCCAACTCCGCCGCCCAGCTGCCCCCTCGGCCGCCACTAGCCCCCTTTCCCCTGCTTTTTCCTTCCTCCCCGACACCTCCCCTGTTTTGGACTCTCCCCGGCGCCGCCTCGCCCAGCCGCCGCGCGCCGCCATTCCGGCCGCCGCCGCTGCTCCGTCCGCCACCACCCAGCCCCCGGTGACCTTGCCCAGCCACTTGCAGCCGCCGTGCTCGCCGGGACAGCCCAACCGCCACCGTCGTCGCCGTTGCCTAGGCCGTGGCCGAGCAGCCTAGGCTACCGACTAGCCGCTGCCCGGGCCGTAGCCAAGTTGCCTCGGGGCGTGCCCGTCGCCGTGCCCGTACCCGTGCCCGTGCCCGTGCCAGTCGCCGTGCCCAGCCGTGACCGAGAATTTTGCCAGTGACCGAACTAGTGGCCGAGCCCCGCGCCCGTCGCGCCCTCTGCCGCGCCGAGACGCCGCCGTTCCGACCGGGCCATTCCTGGCCATAGCCGATTTTTCCCGGGCAAAAAACCTAGTAAGTGACCTCCTAATCATTATTTAGGACTATGGGTATTTTTAGACTTGTTTAGGACGTGATTAGTACCGGTTTAGGGGCTAAACGTGGATTAGGGTCAATATTCGTATGTGCGTATTTGTTAGATTCAATTGTGATAATTGTAGGGCTTAATTAGTGGCTAATTATGGTGGGTTAAATACCCGTATTGTCGTGGCGTGTGGGGAAAATTGACGTGTGATTGTGGCCGGCTTGAATATCGGAATCGTGAGCTTGTGATTTGGAATTGGGATGATTGTGGGTGCATATTTGTGGCTACTGTTGGTGAGTCAATGATTGGCTTATCGTGGCATTTGTGAGTGGAATTGATAGCTGAATGTGATCGACTTGAAGGTCAGGTTGGTGGAATATTGTGGTGAGCATGCCTTGAGTTTGATTGGTACGACTTGTGAGAATTGCGAATTGTGTTGTGGTGCATGTGCATGAGAAAAGCCCGGATTGATCGGAGGGCTGCCAACCTGAGGCGTGGTTACGCGGGTGTGGCGAGAAAGGCATGACCAGACCTGAGGCGTAGGTTACACGGGTCATTGGAAGGGAAAAATGTCCCGAGGCGTGGTTATGCGGGACCGAGCCCGGCTTGATCTGAGGGCTGAGCCTGAGGCGTAGTGGCGCGGGCTGTGAGATTGGGCCTGAGGCACAGTGGCGCGGGCAGTGTGAAAGGACCTGGGAGGTCGTGGAAAGTTGTTCGGCCACACATGCGAGTTGAGTGTGATTGAATTGATTGAACTGATTGGACTTTCTGATTGAATGTGTGATTGAATTGGTTGGATTGATTGAGTGTTAGTGTGGTTGGTGCTTGAGTGATTGTGATATGTTATTAGGCTATTAATATTGCATTATCACGTTTAACTAACGTGCAGAGCATGCGTTTGATGGCGACGTAAGTACAATGACGTGAATTCTCTATGTTGAGGGTTAGATTGCTTGTACAACTTGTCTGGGTACGCATTGGCCTACGTAAGGTTTAGGGTGTTATTTATTGAGAGTCGTTCTCATGGTTATTATATAACCACTTTCAGATCCGCGATCGTGATCGATTCGGAGATGCCGCCATAGTACTACAGGGATTGAAGGATAGATCAAGTTTATCCTGTCTTTTGAGTACTTTTTTGTAGAGGAGATAAGTATGTCAACCACCGCCCCCTTTTGAAAATTGTGGTTTGAAATTGGTAGCCCGGGTTATCGTTCTGTAATAGTGACTACTTTATGATGTTATGCAATTATTGTTTCGTGCTATCCTTTCGTCATCATATTAGTTGTCTAGGTTGTTTTATTTTGTTTCCGCTTGCGTAGTTCGTTTGGGTCGGCGACGCGTCCTGGGACGTCGCGTTCAATTCGACCATGGACGGGATGTCACGGGCTCGGTGGGGTCCGGGGCGTGACATCTCGGTTGATTTGGTATCAGAGCAAGGTCAGCTCGATCTAAGTTGGTCGAAACCTGGAGTGATAAGGAGCGATGACTTTGGGGTGGCCAGTTAGGGAGACTCGTGTGCCATGCGAACCCCAGACTGTGTGATTGTGATTGCTGAGTGATTTTTATGCTATAATATGTGAGGTGCAGGTGCGTCAGGACTTGAGGTAAGTGCACGAACTCTGTGGTTGTGATTGGGTGTTGTTTGTAATTGGCTGCCTGCTTAATGAATTGTTGTTGTGATTTGTTTCCTAGGGCTTTAAACTGTGATAGTTGACCTAGGTTTCTAATTCCTGCGTGAGATTATAGCAGGTGAGCTTTTGTGAGATTTAGTAAGATGAGCGGTCGAGGTCAAGGTAGAGGTCGAGGTAGAGGTCGAGGTCGAGGTCGCGTAGCCTCGTTAGCTAGAATCATGGGGGACCCTAGGGTGGATGAAATCTGGAGGGCGCTCAAGGAAGCGGGAATATTATCGGGTAGTCAGACGGGGGAACAAAGTGCTAATGTTACCGCTGCAGCTGCCAGTGAGATTATTGGGGATAATGGAGGCCAGGGGAATAATGTGATTGGTGAAAATCCCGGTCCAGTACGAGTAAATGCGATCAGGCCAATGTCCAAGCTAGTAGAACAGTTTCTGAGGTTGAAACACTCGAAGTTTGATGGGAGAGGCGATGCTGAGGCCGCCCCAAGATGGGTGGAAGAGCTAGAGAAAGCCTTCGAAGTGCTGGGATGCACTGAAGAAGAGAAGGTAACATTAGCAGTCTACCAGCTTCAGAGCAA